AGAATCGCCTGCAATGCAGGAGAACCCATTTCGATTCCTGGGTTGGAAAGAGCCCCTGAAGAAGGGATGGGCTACTCACTCCAGTATTCTTGGGCTTCCCTGGTGGCTTAGCTGGTAAAGAATCCGCCTGCAATGCGGGAGACCTGGGTTTGATCCCTGGGTTGGGAAGACCCCCTGGAGAAGGGAAAGGCTACCCACTCCAGTATTCTGGCCTGGAGAATTCCATGGACTGTAGAGTCCAAGGGGTTGCAAAGAGTCGGACACGACTGAGAGACTTTCACTCACCCCACTTCAGATGCCAGTCATAATGGGCTTAGGTTCCCCACAGCTGCTGTCTGACTTGGCTATAAACCAGTTCCCATGACCCCTCTGTTGGGTTTGGTTAATTTACAGAGTGTCTCACAGAACTCAGGGGAACACTTTCACTTACCAGCTTATTAAAGGATACAGGTGAACAGCTGGACAAAGAGGTATGTAGGGGAAGGTCAGGCAGGGTCCCGAGCCCAGGAGCTCCTGTCCCGGTGGGACTGGAGTGCATCACCCTCTCTGTCTGGATGTGTTCACCTCAGGAAGCATGAGATTGGCCCAGGTGGCAAAGGGATGCCTGCCCGTGGAGCTGTCACAGCACTAACTCATCTCTTGATCCTGCTGTCAGAGTGCTCAGTTAGAGCTCCCATGCCTGTCCATTCTCATCTGAGATGCTGGACAGCTTGTATGGATGAAGCCTTGCCCACACAAAATGTACCACCAGCAAGAGATTTACAGGACGGTGGATGTGCACTGCCAGTGATGGTTGCAAGCATCTATCTTATAGTTGTGGGGTAATTGGAGGACTCTTGCAATGCTTTCCTATTTTCTTATTAAAAGATCCTGAGGGCTCATCAAGGTCATTATTAGGTAATACATGGCGAACTTGCGTTATAGCCTGCCAGGCTCCTCTCTCCACAGAATTCACGAGGCAAGAATACTGGAGTGGGTTGCCATTCCCTTCTCCAGGGGATTTTCCTGACCTAGGAATCAAATCCAGGTCCCCCTCATCACAGGCAGATTCTTTTTTTTTTTTTCATTTATTTTTATTAGTTGGAGGCTAATTACTTCACAACATTGCAGTGGGTTTTGTCATACATTGACATGAATCAGCCATGGAGTTACATGTATTCCCCATCCTGATCCCCACTCCCACCTCCCTCTCCACCCGATTCCTCTGGGTCTTCCCAGTGCACCAGGCCCGAGCACTTGTCTCATGCATCCAACCTGGGCTGGTGATCTGTTTCACCCTAGATAATATACATGTTTCGATGCTGTTCTCTTGAAACATCCCACCCTCGCCTTCTCCCACAGAGTCCAAAAGTCTGTTCTATACATCTGTGTCTCTTTTTCTGTTTTGCATATAGGGTTATCGTTACCATCTTTCTAAATTCCATATATATGTGTTAGTATACTGTAATGGTCTTTATCTTTCTGGCTTACTTCGCTCTGTATAATGGGCTCCAGTTTCATCCATCTCATTAGAACTGATTCAAATGAATTCTTTTTAATGGCTGAGTAATATTCCATGGTGTATATGTACCACAGCTTCCTCATCCATTCGTCTGCTGATGGGCATCTAGGTTGCTTCCATGTCCTGGCTATTATAAACAGTGCTGCGATGAACATTGGGGTGCACGTGTCTCTTTCAGATCTGGTTTCCTCGGTGTGTATGCCCAGAAGTGGGATTGCTGGGTCATATGGCAGTTCTATTTCCAGCTTTTTAAGAAATCTCCACACTGTTTTCCATAGTGGCTGTACTAATTTGCATTCCCACCAACAGTGTAAGAGGGTTCCCTTTTCTCCACACCCTCTCCAGCATTTATTGCTTGTAGACTTTTGGATAGCAGCCATCCTGACTGGCGTGTAATGGTACCTCATTGTGGTTTTGATTTGCATTTCTCTGATAATGAGTGATGTTGAGCATCTTTTCATGTGTTTGTTAGCCATCTGTATGTCTTCCTTGGAGAAATGTCTGTTTAGTTCTTTGGCCCATTTTTTGATTGGGTCATTTATTTTTCTGGAGTTGAGCTGGAGGAGTTGCTTGTATATTTTTGAGATTAATCCTTTGTCTGTTGCTTCGTTTGCTATTATTTTCTCCCAATCTGAGGGCTGTCTTTTCACCTTGCTTATAGTTTCCTTTGTTGTGCAAAAGCTTTTAAGTTTCATTAGGTCCCATTTGTTTATTTTTGCTTTTATTTCCAGTATTCTGGGAGGTGGGTCATAGAGGATCTTGCTGTTATTCATGTCGGAGAGTGTTTTGCCTATGTTCTCCTCTAGGAGTTTTACAGGCAGATTCTTTACCCTCTGAGCCATCAGGGCATCCCCGAACTCAACAAGATCAGTTCAATGGCTCACCAAAGAACTAGAAATCAAAGCTTTTCAATTCGGTCCACTGCTCCTCCCACCCCGTGGGGTTACAGTCCGTGCATGAGACAGTGTGTTTAAAACTAAAAGTATCACAGGCTCCTTCATCTTCGTTTGATGAATAAAACATCCTGAACCTCTCAGGACATTGAAGAACCGGATGTGGTGCTTCTCAAACTTTTACGTGCAGTTCGTTCACCTGGTGATCTTATTACCAATGCAGATTCTGACTCAGTAGGTCTGGGTGGGGCCTGAGCTTCTGCATTTCTTACAAGCTCCTGTGATGCTTGTAAGGTGATGCCTGTGCTGTGCTTCATGGACCACATTTTGAGTAGCAATGAGATGGAGCTGCCAACGAATTTCTTCACATTCTCAGAAGTAAGCTACTTGGCCGCGCCTGCTCTTTGCAATTCAGTAGCAGAAATTTTGACTCTGAATCTGCCATTACAGTGGACATTGGTGACACTCAAGATGGCAATGCTTACGGAAAAGTTTTATTGTGGATTGATAACCATAAAAAGTGTTATACCTGCTGGTACAATAATTCCACTTATGGATATTAATTCTAAATAAATAACCTAAAAGACGGAAAAACTTATGTGAACAATGGTGTTTTATTATAGACAGAACTATGTATACTAAATAAAGAAGAAGTCTATGTCTAATATAAAGGAAATGATTACATAAATTATAATAAATTCATTTAAGATACTAATAATATTGTGGACAAATATTTTTCTTCTCTCTCTCCCCAAAAGTAACATGTCAGTAAAGAAATAAAAAGAGTATAAACTCACAAGCTTAACAAATGAGTGAATGAACGATTTCCACACATTTTTCCAAGATCACCAATGTATGGAATTAAGGAGAATGACCACAGGCTTCTGTCTCTGTTTGTAATATTGTGTTTCTTTTTATTGGGTGGTGAATTCAAGGGTGATGCTTTTATAATTTTATGCCAGAAATGTTTCAAAATTTAATAAAAAAGAAATTGAATGGGGACAGAATGAAGAACATTATGACCTCCTTGTTAGGGGTGGGAGAATTATAACAAAACCAGTTTGCCCAACAAAATCTGGCTTTGGTTCTTGAAGGCACCCAAGACTGGGAGGCAAGGAGGCATGGGGGTAACCCTCGAGGAATAGGTAGTCAGTCTCCGGAGCTTTTGGATCTGTGATTCCAAGCCCGCAAAGAGACCCTCTCTCCCCATTAACAACAACACAGGAGGTAGGCACTTTATTCTCTCGAGAAATTGAGTCCCATTAGCTCAGAACTCGGACACATCACATCATAAAGGGCAAGCTGAAAGCAAGAGAATTACTGAGTGAGTTGCATACAGGATGTGGGACCCCTGACCCCTCCCATGCCCTGCTCTCAGGAGCCAGATGTAGATGCCCATAGGCAAGAGACTGCTAACTAACTAACACACAGGCCAAATCCATTCCTCTCCACTCCCTGTGTTTGCAAATAAAGTTTTATTGGAACACAGTCACACACATTTATTCACAAATTATCTGTGGCTGCTTTTGTGTCATAATAGAAGAGCCAAGTAGTTGCAACAGACACCATCTGGTCTGCCAAGCATAAAATATTTACTATTTCGGTCTTGCAGAACAAGTTTGTCTACCACTACTTGGGGTTTCTCTGGTGGCTCAGAGGTAAAGAATCTGCCTGCCTGTGCAAGAGACTCAGGTTTGATCCCTGGGTTGCGAAGATGCCTTGGAATAGGAAATGGCAACCTGCTCCAATACCCTTGCCTGGAAAATTCCATGGACAGAGGAGCCTAGTGGGCTACAGTCTGAAAGTGAAAGTGAAGTCGCTCAGTTGTGTCCGACTCTTTGTGACCCCGTGGACTGTAGCCCACCAGGCTTCTCCATCCATGGGATTCTCCAGACAAGAATACTGGAGTGAGTTGCCATTTCCTTCTCCAGGGGAATCTTCCCAACCCAGGGATTGAACCCAAGTCTCCTGCATTGCAGGCAGATGCTTTAACCTCTGTGCCACCAGGGAAGCCCCTAGACATGACTGAATGACTGAGCACACAATATCCCCAGAAACCTAAGAAGATATTTCATTCATAAAACAAGAACTAGCTACTATGATAAGCAAGAGTGAACTCTGGAAATGCAAGAAAGTGACAGTCCATAATGGAAAAAATAAAGAAAATTTCAGAAGAACCATTAGACAGGAAGACAAGGGAATAAAAAACAGAGAAAATTTAGGAATATTGGATTATCAATTCCAACATTTAATTTAAAAGAATTATAAAAAGAGAAAACCAAGGAGATGAAGGTTATGAAATTGCCAAAGACATACCATGAGATTTCTGGGAAATATATCTATGTGTATATATATATATTTTACCTATTGATTGCCCATTGTGCACAGTAAATAAAAACTACCAGCAAGGGTCATGGGGAAATTTGAAAGCACTATAGCAATAAAGAGATGACTCTTAAGCTTCCAGAGAGAAAAGAAACCAAAACAAAAGAAACCAAACAAAAGAACAAAAGTTAAAATGGAGACTGATATGATGTTTGTGTTAAACAGAATACCTGTTGTTATAGGAAATCGGTGGTATTCTTTGCTCTGCTTTCCTCCTGCAGCTTAATTGCTTACACGGAACAGTACATGGAATATGACCCTTTGATCACACCAGCTGAGCCGTCCAATCCCTGGATCAGTGATGATATTGCTTTATGGGACATAGAGATGAGGTAAAAAAAAAAAAAAATTATGTTTTAATGTTTGGAAGTGGGGGGAGGGCACAATGCATGAGATCATGAGATTATTATTATACCCTATCTTAATTTGACTTTTTTTATCAATAGAACAGAAACTCCTCATGTAACCACCCAAATGATTTCCTTGCCCATGGTTTCTACCTCTTCATAGCTTTTTATGTGTATCTTTTATGGCTTCCCTCTGACCTCTCTCTGATTGCATGGATCTTACGATAACTGGGACAGTCTGTCACAGTTGCTAGTTCTGACTGCTGGAGGGCAAGAATCTGTGGATCATTTGCTTTTCATACATTAGCAACAACAACAATAATAGCTAGCATTTACTCTGTACTTGGCCTCTACTGAGTATCTTCCAGTGAGTCACCACAACAGGTAGACATTATTATTCTCACAATTGAACAGATGGAAAACAGGAGTTAATGGACTTGCCCAAGGTCACACAGCAAGAAGGTGGTAGAACCTTCTGGGTTCTAGGATTAGAACCCAGGCAGAGGGCCCCAGAGCTGTGGTCTTCATCTCTCTGCTCTTTTGGAGTAGCAGGCACAATGGTTCCATTCAGAAGTTCCTTATGGACGAGAGAAAAGTGAAAGCGTTAGTTGCTCAGTCTGACTCTTTGCAACCCCATGGACTGCAGCCCTCCAGGCCCCTCTGTCCATGGAATTCTCCAGGCAAGAATACTGGAGTGGGTTGCCATGTCCTTCTCCAGGAGATCTTCCCGCCTGCAGGGATCGATCCTAGGCTCCTGCATTGCAGGAGGATTCTTTACTGTCTGAGCCGCCAGGGAAACCCATACAGATGAGAGAACCTGGTGTGTTTACTTAATAGCGGATGAACTAAAGCCCAGGGGGGTCTTCAGCCATGTTGGAGATTACAGAAGGAGCCCAGTATGTCGTGCCTTTGCATCTGCTGCCCCTTGGCTAAACAGTTCTTTATTTTGTTCTTCATTTCTTTGTATCTCTCTCATTAACTTCCACCCTTGTCTTTCACTGATCAGAGAATCACTGTTTCTGTTCATTGTTTCATTACCCCAATCACTGTTCAGAGCAGATCAGTCCTTTCAGATAATTTGGGGTACTACTGGTTTTCATAAATGAAGGTCTTGGTTTTCAACTTTCACTGTATATTAGAACCACCTGGAGAGCTTATTTTAAAAAATACCAGCGCCTAGTCCCCTCTCCATGTCACTTAAGTAATAATTTCCGGCAGTGGTGCACTGTTTGTTTTTTTAAGTTTATGCTAATGTACAGGCCTGATCTGAAAGCCCAACCTTTCCTTAGCCTAATGTTCCTGCAGCCAGGTGAGGCACTCTGCTTCAGGCCCTGACGGGGTTTAAGTTATTCAGTTTGCTCTCCACGGCGCACCCCAACAAGGCCACTCTTCTCCCATCTGTTGAGGGATCTTAGGGGAACACGAAGAGATCTGCAGAAACCAGTGAGAAGTAGGAGGAAACCTCAGCATCTTCAGAAGTCTCCCTGCCTTGCTGAGATGTTTTCTATCCATATTAGCTCTACCTCACCTAGGTTACACAGGCACCACCCTCTGGCTTTACTTCCCATGTGAGAAGCTGGCCAGAAAATGTTCCCCTTTTATTTAGAGACCCTCTCGGCCCAGGGAACCCATGTCTCATATTTCTGAGTTTCTCCCCTATGTCCCCCCATTCAGTACTTACCAACTGCCTCTACTTCCAGTCTAGCTGCTCAGGGCTTGGGATTTTCCCAGGCTTCTGCTGGGAACACCCAGTTTACCTTATTCCCAGATGGCCCCGCCGGAAGCCTAGGTGGCCCACGATCAGTTTTGTCACCAGTCCACCTGCTTCATAAGTTCCCAAAGTTCCTCAACATTTATCCTCTGCTGGTAGGGAATTTATTTGCCTCTTACACTCTATGTTTTATTTTGTTTTTAATATTTCACTGAACTCCAGATTCTTATCTGTTCCCCCCTCCTGGGCCACTCTCACAGACCCTCACATGGCTGGCTTCCCTTTTCATTCAAGCCTCACTCAACATTGGTGTCTTTTTCTCAGAAAGGTCTTCGGTGACCACTCACACTGTAGTGGCCACCCCACATCCATCCAGTCTTTCTAGATCACATCCTCCCCCTGGATCTCTTTCTAAATAAGACTTACAGTTATTTTAGCATCTAGTCGTATGTCTGGCATGTAGTAGGGACTCAGAAAGTATAGGTTAGATGGAGGGTGAATGGAAAAGTGACCATTTTGTTGGAAATGCTGTTGGCATCTGGGAAAGAAAGCGAGGTTAAGTGTGTGAATTTAATTCACCTTGATGACATTGGGATTTCCTCTTTCTTTCTTGAAAGTCAACAACAACAACAACAAAAAAAAGGCAAAAAGCATGATAGTTTGGGAAGATGGTGGCCACCTGGCCTGTTGGTTTATTCAAACGTATCAGCACTTTGTCCCCAAGGGATGCACTGCCCCCACAACTAGGTTCTGCCTCTGTTTTTACAGCTAAGGCTTCTATTGTAATCATAATATCTGACCTAACACCTACACTGTTCTGTTCATCTTCAAGCTAGTTAGGCAGATACAAGGGAGAAGGAAGAGAAGCTATGAGGCCCTCTTTCTCCTCCCAGCAGGACATTCCCACCCAGTCAGACGCTGGCAGTGATTGGGAACCTGCCTCTGGTGATAGGGAGTCAGGAATCAACACCAACATGCTTCTTCAGTCTAGAGATCAAACAGCCTTTGTGCATGAAACAAAGGCTGAAGGTGACCAGCAAAATAATCAAAGGTCATCTTTTTCTCAGTTTCCATTTCATTTAGTTTAACTAATAAATAGCATTGAGACCTACTATCTTCTAAGTAAGAAAGTCTCTCCAGATATCACGTAGCGAGGTGAATAACGTGCAGTCTTACCTCCCGGCTCCAAGATTCCTCCTCGTTGGCAAAGGACATCAATGTCACTTGGGGCACAGAGTCAGGCCCTAAGGGCAGGCGTGTTAGCAGAGACTCAATAACAAGTGGAGAGGTTGTGCCCCGTAAGAAAATGAGATGCATGTACTTTTTGTCCCCAGGAGGGGAGACCTCAGGACAGTGAAAAGTGAGGGTGGAGAGAGGAGCAGAGAGACCAGAGAGACCAGAGAGAGCAAGCCTCCATTCAGAGCCATGAAAACCCCTAGTGCTGAGGTGTCCGAGGACTTTTCAGTGTGGGAATACTGAATGTGTGATTTCTAAATTGCCTGCTGCTGGATGGTGCAATGTGTGCCCCCTTCTCAAGACCCTTCAACTTCAGTAAAGGATTCTACCCTCTCAAACACTTCATGTGAAGTTGGTTTTTGGTGAAGGTGGGTGAAGCGGTGTTAAGAGTCGAGGCAGCATGGGAGACAGCGGGGCTTCTTGGGACTTCATGCTCATCTGAGATGGGCTGTGATTTCTCCTGGGCGTGAGCAAATGGGTACAGATGCTTTACAATGCCCAGGGCAGAGGGCATCACAGATAATGTCCGGATTCTACAGAGATGAACATACTGTCTCAGCCATGTAGGGTTTATAGACAAACCAGCCGAAGACAACCGTGGGCATTAATAGAATAATTGGCAGGATGATGCAGAGTGTAGCATAGACAGTAAGAAATTGTGCTTTAATCCTCTCTCCTTCTCAGACAAACTGTTAGATCTAGAAATCCAAGAATGAGAAAGGGAATGTTCAGAGGGCAATACAAAACTGCCTTTTTAAAGGATATTCATGAAGTCTACTCAGTGAAAATTCTGAGAAGTCAAATTTAAATAAAGAAAATAGTGATTGCCAGGGCTCATCACTGAGGAAGAATCAGCCCCAAATTGCCAGATCTCAGTTGGAGAGAACGCTGTCATCTCAGGGCTTTCCTGATAGCTCAGTTGGTAAAGAATCCGCCTGCAATGCAGGAGACCCCAGTTTGATTCCTGGGTCGGGAAGATTCACTGGAGAAGAAATAGGCTACCCACTCCAGTATTCTTGGGCTTCCCTTGTGGTTCGGCTGGTAAAGAATCAGCCTACAATGCAGGAAACCTGGGTTCCATCCCTGAGTTGGGAAGATCCCCTGGAGAAGGGAAAGGCTATACCAGTATTCTGGCCTGGAGAATTTCATGGACTGTATAGTCCATGGGGTCGCAAGAGTCAGACACGACTGAGTGACTTTCACTTGACTTCACTTCACTTCACTGTCATCTGAATACCACCAGGAAAGTGTCCCCAGGAAGATGCCATCAGCCAGATAGTGGCTCTAACAAGAACCTGGCATTGCCTGCAGGATTAGGGTTCATGATTTGCCCTCACCACATGATATAGGTCTGACTTTCTCTCTCTGCTGGGCAACAGGCACATGAGTAAAGAGTTACAAGGAACCTAGCTCATCCTATTTGGTCAAAGGCATCCACTCCCAACCAGCCTGATCTGCTGCTAGGCAGAGGCCATCCCTGAGCTGCTCAGCAAGTTTGATAAAAATGTACATCCATGATATTAGTCAATCTCCCTCCCTATGGTAGTCAGTCCCTATATATAGCCCCATCAGTGCTTTCTTCATTGTATGCAGGGATTGCTTCCTCCATGGAAAGGGGACACCTCCCTCCCTTTTCATCCGGACTGACCTTGATGCCTTATTTAACCAACAGAGTATGGTGGGAGTAACATTCTGAAAACAGGTCATAAAACAGCTCTTGATCATTTGAGACATTTACTCCTAAGACATTCTTTTTTAAAATGTTTTGGCTATGAGAAACCCAAGCAATTAGGGAGATCATGGAGGTTGACAGCCTTGGCTGAGCTTCTGGCCAAAACCAGCATCATCTGCCATGTGATGAGCCATCTTGGATGTCCAATCCAGTCCACCCTTCAGATGACACCACCCCCAGCTGCCATCCATCGACAACTCTTGAGAGACCCCAAGTGAGAAACTTCCATCTGAGCCCAGTCAACCCATGGGATGTTGAGAGAGAATAAATTGTTGTTTTAAGCCACTGAGTTTGAAGATGGTTTAA